TATAAACAACTATAACTATAACTATAACTGTGAATGACTGAATAAGCTAGGGAGAGTGGAGAACAGCTACGCCGCGCTCCACAGTTCCAACGACCGTCAGGGGCGGTAAGAAGGAACCGAGGGGGCGCCGGGTCGGCTGGGGTATATATTCAGCGCCATGAAGGCGCCACTCTAGGGGGCTCCACAGCCGACCCGCCGGTGTTGCTAGGGTAGAAAATTTTCTGACGATCGTGCACGCGGCGCGCGCACACCTAATGGAATGGATATGAGCAAGCACTCGAAGAAGAACAGATTGTTTAGCATAAGCAGTTAACATATTTCAAGGGACCATTCAAGGTGAAGTGGCCTGTTGACACCCCTCCAGTCATAGGGAGGAAAGGAAGAGAGTGGGGGAAGCAGCTGGGGGAGTGAGGGGTGAAGGTGTTAGTGGTTTATGGATTGTTGTAATAAGCCATAAATCCAGTTTCCCAGACCTGAAGAAGAGCTCTGTGTAAGCTCGCAAGCTTGTCTTTCACCAACAGAAGTTGGGCCAGTAAAAGGTATTACCTCACCCACCTTGTCTCTCTAATGTCCTGGGACCTACACAGCTACACCACAGCATACAGTCTCTATTACACATTCAATAGCCAAACTCCCAATGCTGTTCATTAACTGCCCATATCTAAAGGAAAATGGTGGGGTTACCTCCTGTGCTGTCAAGCTTTCCCCTTGTAGCTTGGCGTCAGCCTGTTTCCTGCTCTGTGGGGAGGGTCTAACCTTAGGCACTTGTGATACTGTCTTCCCTTGATTTTATAAGGAACCCTTTTTTGGCCAGTCTTTTCATAGTACCATCATTCAATTGAATTACTTCCTTTTTTCATTACTGCCAATCTCCTTTGTTTTACAAACCGAATTTAATACCATTTCAAATAATTCAAAAGTATCATGAATCCAGCTACAATCTCCTTCCCCCCTCCCCCCATCATGCAGATTTACAGATCTGTACCTACAGGGCTTGTACCAGACGGCTACAACCTTACACAGTAGTAGTTGCCTTCTGCACTGCACAGCAGGGGAGACACACTCCACAATCTCACATAGCATCCTTGGTTTTGTTTTGAAGACCTTGATATACAAAATCCCCATACAGCAGAGCATCAATGTCTTATCCAAGTTGCCTGGTTTGCTCATTTCCTCATCCAAGTATCTGACTTTAACATGGTTTGTAAGCCCTGGATTTTCTTCTCTAGACAGTTCATCATATTCCAAGCCTTTGCTGCAGCTCATCTTTGTTAAGCAAGTTCCAAGCTGACCAAAGCCTTTTGGTGTTTTTCTATTTCTTTGAAAAAAAAAATTAGTCTATGGTATTCAAGCTGCTGTTCATCTCTTCAGTCAGGGCTGGCAAAACAAGCTGAACATTTCATACATAGTTTCCAAAATCCCCTCAAGCCCTTTGTAGCTTCTGATTCAATATAATTTTTATTTCCAAATATCTGGATTTGATCTCTGCCTTCAGGGCATATCTCAGTCCTTCCTGAGAAGCCTCCAGACCATTTTAATTCCTCTTGGCCTGGTCTTAGTGCTTCTTGGATAGCTTTGATTTCTGTAAGCACCACACTGACTTTTTCCATCCTTTTTCAATGGGAACACCAGCTCACATTTTCTCTTCTTAGAAATTTAACCCTGTCTCTGATACCAGTATTGAACTTTGGCCAAGTGGTGGCAGAGTTCAAGGTCTTGCAGCAGTTTCTGTCATTGGAAAGAAAACGATGTCTCAGTCAGGTCCGGTGTAATCTGTTTTATTTACATGATGTACATGAGTCCTGATACTCTGAAATCAATATGACCCCTCTGCATACAGGTAACGCTGGAATCCTCAGCTCCATCACCCTGGGCAGACACCAGGAACAGCTGCCTCTGATGCTCTCTCCTCCAGGTTTCCAACCACCCTCCCAACTGCCATGGACCCTTTCCCTCCTGGCTGCCCTTGAGACCCACATTCAGGAGCCAGAAAAGCAGCATCAGTATCACTCTCACAAATTTCATCACACTCCTGTCTGCTGACCGACTACTGCTCAGCAGATTCATCACAAATATAACGAATGGAATCCCAGTAACTCAATGTTTTGGGATACGCAGAGTAGAACAGACACTAGAGAACACCAATTTCACTAGATTTGAAAGAAATCATTTACTCAGTCACACTATGTGGAAAATGATTTTGTTCTGACTACACAGGCAGTTGAAGTTTTTTCAGTACTGGTTACAGGTGTCACAAACATTTCCTAGAATAGTAGGAGCTTGACTTCAGTGCCTACTACTGGCTAAGGGGTAAGTAGAGGACTTTTATAATGTCCCTTCTTTTCAAATACATATCAAAGGCAGTAGTAACTTCTATAAATTAATTATTGTCAACAGGGCCAGATTTACCCCTTACGTGCCCCTAGGCACTGACCTTAGTGTTGCACACAGTTTTAGAGAGGAAGGCGCCCCTAGAATGCCAGTGCCCCTAGGCACGTGCCTAATTGGAAATCTGGCCCTGACTGTCAAGTGTCTCCATTTTCCCCCCAATATAGCTAAAATAGAAGTATTAAATTTTAGCTTATTATAATTTTATGCTGAATGTTCCAAAATGCAAGCAGCAAAAGAGGCACCCACATCATTTTTTAAAAGGATTTCCTCACCTCCTCTACCCCATTTTATATCCGAAGTCATGCTGGCCAGCTCCCTCTACAACAGCACCCTGGTGTGCACCACACCCTGTGAAGTCATTAGAGCACGGTACCACCCTATGGGTAAAGGAAAGGTCAGGCAGGTAGCGTAATACTACTGCACATGAACTTTGAGTTCAGTGAATCAAGTGATCCTCCTGGCTAGCTATGCCTAGGCACCATATAAATCCTAATAATAAAAACTTCATTGTCTCCCTCATCCTTGGCCAGTCCAGATGGTTAAGGAAATCTCATTAATGAAGGAAAGACACAAAGATGACAGCAGGCAAACAACCCAAAAGGTGGCAGCTGAATGTTAGCATGTCTCCCCCTCCCTTTCAACAAACCAAGTTACATTCAGAAAACAAAAGGAAACAAGGTTAAAATGAAGTTTATTAGTTTTTTGTTTTGTTTTTTAAGCTTTTTTTTTATATAAAACTGTTTGTGAAACAGCTATTTTATTCCCATGGCAGAGTGACCCCTGAAAGATGCACTAACCCCTTCTTAAGGCCTTAACAAGAAAAAATTTATTTGTCTTTTTAAACTCAAATGTTTAAAAATTACACAATTTACAAAAAAATAACCATATGGTATAGGCTATTAAATTGACATTCTCCCTTCCTTTGGAAAAAAACAACAAAACCCCAAAACAACCCACCCACACACTAAAGAAGGGTTAATTGAACATTCCTGGACAATTTAAACACACATTGATTCCATCAACATTCAGACTTCCTGTTCAACTTCCCACCCTGGCAGACAAACCAACATCCTCCTTTAGCCTGCTTTCAAAAGAGACGGCAGCTTCTTGGAATGATTTAGGGGTGTTCATCATTACCATGAATGGCAGAAACACCCTCCCCGCACCCACCATTTGGTGCGGACATATCCATATCTATATGGGGTGTGTGTATTTGGCTAGCAGCAGCTACCTTTTACTTCACAAGTCGCATGACCTAGGAGTCAGATGTTTTTCAAGCTTCTATTGTTAATCAAAATAAATAGTGTTTCTTGAAAAGAAAATATTGTAAACTCACTCCCCACGCATACACATATGAACAACTCATTGCCTGCAGCCATCCAATCCCCCTTCCTACCCCACAGATAGTTTTGTAATGAAAGAGGATTTTTTGTTTTATTTTCTTTAAATCTCGAGCTCTTCTTCCGGAAGTGGGGGAGAAGAGGAGGGAGACAAATCTGGTTAGTGGAATGCATAATTCCACTCCCTTTTCAACAAAGAGGGGGATAGTTCAGGAGCCTCCTTTGGATTCTGGACTTAACATTTACTGTAATTAGAAGAAATTGTGAATTTATCTGTGTTTTTAATATTGAATCAAATGCATAAAAAGGGATAGTGCACCTTTCATTTAAAACAAAGTCTTCCAAGACTAAAAAATAGATCTTTATATATATATATATATTTTATCCCTCCCTCTTTAATTCCCCCCACCTGTTTCCTCTTTTTCCCACCCCTCCCCATTGTCACTATGGAGTTTGTGTCCATGGAAACAGCTGGTTCAGACTCCTTGGTCATATTCTGTGATGTCATCAGTCTTGAGTGTGATGTAAGAATTTATGAAGGAAGTGCTGGCATTGGCAGGCACATCAAGAGGGGGCATGGCTGCACAGTGGGAGAGATTTCATTCAGTCATGAATGTCCACCGCTTTTTATCTCAACAGCCTAACCTGCAAAACAAAGTGAACACAGCAATATTAGTATACTTATAGTTACCCGTGTAACAGCCACCAGGACTTCAGAGCAGCTTACCCAACAACCTGACATAACAGCAATGCCAAGAGCTAAGTTTACAGAAGCATGATCGTTGTTATTTCTTTACAACAAATTTTATGTGGTGAAAGGTATCAGATTAACAAGCCTTGGAGACTATCTATTTAGTTACAGAAGGGGTACAGCATGGGCAACCACAGGAGCATACGTTTCTCCTACCACCACCAAGCCTCAGACTTTATAACACAGAACCACTTCCTGCAGTGAGAAGATCATTAATCCTTAGTCTGTTTGTTGGAAACTAGCAACAAAGGGGCCCAATTAGGATCAGTTATGATGGTGGATCTGTGAGGTGACTCCTGCCCACTAGGAACTGGACCGAGACGCCAACACATTTTATACAGACAGATCTCTAACCAGCCATCAGATAGTAACAACTTTCAACCAACACCAACCTGGGACTGTAATGAAACTGATGATTGAGTTAACAGGTTCCATATCCAGTTATTAATTGCCTGAAGTGACCAGTCCTCACTAGAGGGAGGATGAGCCACATTGTGTGTATAATTTACATTTCCTTATGCTATTTTCTTGTTGTAGGTTGCAGACTGCAGGGGTAAGATTAGTGTAAGGAAATCTTGGGGTGTCTTCAGGCAAAACCTCAAACTCTGGAATGGCCAGTCCTTCTCTAGGATGTTTAGTATTTCAACTGCACAGATCAAGAAATTACATGAGGAACGATACAGAACTCCGGGAGTTTAAGTATAGTTGGGACTGAAGTAGCTCAAAACAGGAGTCGAATTCTCCACAATTAAAGCCACACGCCCTGTTCACTTTTCTAGAAAACACCTCACTCTCCCTTAACAAGTTGCCACTGCTAAGAAAACTTAAAAGATTTAAATATTCTATTCCTTCCTGTGACCCAAGATTTAGTTATATTGCAAGAATACTCCTTTGCTGTAGCTCACGTAACACTCATATATCCTTTCCCCCTCATAAATGAGCTCAAGTGAAAAACAAAACCCACAACTTATGCTGAACGTATGAACTGCAGTTAATAGCATTAGAGGTGCACGCACAAAATGCACCTACTACTGACAATTACAACTCCAGAACTCCCAGCTGGCTGTGCTATGAAAAGATAAGCTATTCGGAGTATCGGATCCCCTCCTAGCAAGCATACTACTTTACTGCTAAAATTCTCACATGCAGCAATATAAGGCTAAGGGCAAACAAAAAGACATGAAGCAAGTGTGTAAAAAATAACAGACTACTATAAAGAGGAGATATCACTGCAGGAGAGAGGGAAATTCCTAGAAGTAACAGCTCAGGCAGCTAATCCTTGTTGGTATTCATTATTGTGCAACTGTAAGCCCTTATTGAAGGAGTAGCAAGCCCATGCTGCTGCCTCTGGCTTCTGTTCAACTGTGGCTTGCCCATGCTTGGAAGCAATCCAGAGCATTAGGCACTGACTCAGGGAAGGAACAGGCTCACCATGTATAAAGTTCCTCCCTGTTCCTGGCAAAAAATCCAGAGCACCAGGCGCACTCACACACAGTCACTCTCCATATCTGGAATTGACACAAATGTTCTAGGGGCAAACTGGCTCAGGAAGCAGGAGCAGCAAACAGACACACAACCCACTACCATTCCTGAACTTGATCCAGAGCACTAGAGCGCAGGCCTTTTTTTCCCTTACGGAGATCAGAATGAAAGCAGCCAAAAACAAAGAAAAAAAAACCCCAACCACCCCAACAGCCTATTCCTTCCATTCTAGCAGGCAACTTTACAGCCCATTTCCACCAAAAGCAGCAACAGGACACACATCTGTCCCACTGTGAGAAGATAGTTTCCCTAAACAACCATGCATATCACATTGATTCAAACTTACAAGAATAGTTTGATGGGGGGGAGGGGAGGGAGGCGGGTGCAGGGCCAAATGAGAGGAAAGGATCCATAAGACTTTCTCTACTATAGCGGGGTGGGGAGAGACACCAGTATCTCCAGATTAGAAGTATCTGGGAGAAGAGAAGAGGTGAGGAGAAATGCAACACCCAGCTTCAGGCACAGCATTCATATACTTGTGATTTTATCCCCCTTTCCTCTCCCCTGTGGGATTCTCAAATCCTTGTCATCGTTTTGAGGACGCCTTAACTTGTACTACTCCATACTTTCACACTAGGCTTTTTATTCAGAGCTTATGGGCCAGATCCGTGTCTCCTTGTCTGGCCCCTACGCACCCCTCCTGCTGTGCAAAGTGGCCCTAAAGATGCCCCAACAGAGCCACTGGAGATTCTAGCGAGGGAGGAGAATCCTTAGCAGTCATAGTCAGCTCTACAACACCCCACTTTTCTCCCCCCTCCCGTACACATAAGGGAGCATCTTGGGGGTGGGAGGGAACGCGCCGAGGGAGCATTTAGCTCCAGTGACCCCTGACCAGGAGGCAGTTACAAGCAAGCACTGGTTAGAGGAGCACGGAAGCCGCTTTTACTTCTGCTAAGGGCTAAACTGGCTCCAGGGACTGAAGGAGCATAAAGATGCTTTAAATCACCTCCCTCTTTTCCTTGGGGTCCTGTGCCAAGAACTGGTCAGCCAGATTTGGTGGCCATATATATTTAAGCAGCAGATCTCCCTTACAGCTTTGAGAGGAAAGAAGCCCTACTATATGGGTTAAAATTAGACGTTATTTAACAATTTTCACTAAGCTATACAGGAGAGAGCTTGCATCATCAGGCTCTAGCCTTGTAGCCTCCAGTTAGAGGTTCCTTGGCCTGAGAGGCAGGAATCTCCACTAACAGCGAAACAGGAAAAGCAGCAATGTACCATAAACCTTCCACTTCCAAAACCAATACCCAAACGTGGAGAGACGATTTATTGCCATTCCGCCAACAAAAATACCCATGCGGGTGGAAGAACTAACAAGCCTGGGAGAAGACAGTAGTGGGTAACAAGACCATGACCCACACATTTATAAATGAGAGTACTGTGGGATGTAGACTGGGCCGCTTGGAGAATCCCTGAAACCAGGCAAGGAGCAAAGGCTGCAGCCCTACAACCAGAGTTCTGACCTGTACTGCATTATGCACTAGCTTCTACATTAGAGCTGCTTCAGGCTCTCTGGCCCAATGCACTGGTAGTTTGCAGGACAGGGGCTGCTGGCTGGTAGTGGAAGCAGTTGCTTCTCAAGCTGCAGCTCTGGACTCCCTGCTCCTCTACTCCCAGGAGCAAAGAGGCCTATGCGGAAAGGAGGGGAGCTGCCCATGAGTTTACAGCAGTAGTCAGACAGGAGAGGGTGCTGCTGGGCTTACACAGGAGGGAAAGAAAAAAGGAGCAAAAGTACTCTGCAGCTCAAGAGCCTGATGTGGTCCCTGTTCCCTCCTGTGAATAATGTCTAGGGCTCGGCCTACCAGCTCCTTCTCTTCTCTCCTATTCAAAATCTAACACTGGCTCCTCCTGAGCAGCTTCATATACTCTCTATACTCCTTGGAGAGAGAAGGGAGTAAAGGGGGGAGAGAAAGAGGATCATGACCAACCGCAGCCCCTTGGGAGGGACAGAGGAGGACGGCAAATCAGCTGTGTGTGTGAATGGGCATGATTGGAATGTGGGAGGCTGCATACATTTGGGGGCCTCATTAATTGTATGGGGATGTTGCAAGAATTAATTTGGGGGCAGTCTGGGCAGGGATCACTCAGGCCCTCACCCTGGTGCCCCATGAAAAGCCTATGTAGAGACCCCATTCCTGAATCCACCAGAAGCCTGGAAAGGGACCCCATATATACCTGACTCTAAAAGTGGAACACCTTTGTTTTGCTGTATGTCACACCACAAGCAGCAGATATTTGTTTATAGTGTGGCATACAACAAAACACCAGTGTCGTTTGTCACGCACTGTGGTGGCGTATTTTTCACATTGGCAGGTTGGATGGTTGAGAGGCATGCCTACAACTTCCCATGGGGAGCAGAAGAATGTTGGGGGAGGGGAGAGGTAGAGGCAGAGTTGGAAGGGGAAAGAAGTTGTCAGAAGAACCGTTTTCCCCTCTCTCACACCCTAATCCTTCCCCTCACCTAAGAGGGCTTGTCACAAGCAAGGGCAAATGTCCTGGATCCACTGCTTCCTTACTGGGGGAACTTCTAGAAGGAGGGGAGGAACAGAATACAATGATTATTATTATTAATAATACTTTGAGCACCATAGCTGTACAAAGCACTTTATAAAGCTAAGATGACAGGTATCTGCCTCGTGGAACTTACAACGGATCAAGCATGAAACTCAGACTAGACTGCCCTGCGAGAGGGGATTAACACTGGAAAACTATGCAGTTACTTTCCTCTAAGAACAGACAACAAGTTAAGCAACCTGAAACTGAAAAATCAACATGAAAAGAAATTAAGGGCACATTAATGTTCACTGACTCCTGACGTCTTATAAAACAAAGATCTAACAGTTATCAGGGTGAATCAAAATAAATAATTTAAAAATAATTAAAAACTATTTTTTAAAAATGTAAATTAAATAAGGTTTGTTTTTTAAAATAAACATTTAAAATTAAACTTGAAACTGACAACCTATATTAAGGCCTGGAACCAGACTTTGCTGTACTGCTAAACAACTTTTGAGAGCAGGAACCACTTTTGCAGGTGTACACAATATCTTCCTCATTTCAGTTTATTCAACTAGTTCAATTCAATTACTAGTTAATTCTAAGTTAAGAAACGAAGTCAGAATTGAAAAAGTAGGAAAGATTGTCTTCCTCTTCCAATCTATGAATAAGAACTAGGTGTGAGAGGATGAGATCTCCTAGTTCTAAAATCTTGAATGGCATAGTGACCAGAAACAATCAGTTCAATCTACTTACTACAGACAACACTTTCCTTTAATAAATTAGATAGTTTTGCATCTAAAACATGTTTTTATAAACTTTTAGATAAACTTTTTTCCTTAAGTATCAAGCACATTTAAGGTGGTTCTATTTAATACATTAAAAATGCTGTTTTAATTGAATTTTAATTTCCATCCAAATAGAGTTTAACACAAATAACAAGTAAAAAATTAATCTAATAAATAAGAAATGCATCATTCAACCATTTTCTATCATAAAATGTAAAAATTAAGAATCTCAATAAATGCAAGTTAAGCTATATAACCACTTAAATAAATGTGTATAGATACAGTATATCCACCTGGTTAGAAAAAAGAAGCACAAGTTTTAATGTAAAGGTTATATAGTTGCAAATCAGAATGTTTTAATGGTTACTGGCCAGTGAGAATCAACCTCTCTTTAGCAAAACAACTAAAATGTACAAATGCAAAACAAGATTAAAATCTATTCTTTTAACCAAGATTTCCTGGTTACTGATTTAAAATATGATTAAAATCAGTAATTTAAATTGCTTTTATTTAAACAGTCCACCCTGATTATCATAAAGAAGCCAGCTCCATGTCTGCTCAGGTTTACAGAGCTGCAAAAGACACCAGCAACACACACTGCTAGACCATTATCCAATTATTTCTCAGCCACACCATCATTTACACTTTTTGCCTTCCATAGAGTTGAATTAAAAAAACTTGACGATCTTTACTATTTAGGAAAAATTGACAATAAATATTAATGGTTAATTTTGTTTGAATGGCTATTTCTCTTTAATGAAAGTCTCAGAATGTAAGAGTACTAAAAATCACAGACAAGCTGAGCTAAACCAAGCCAACAGCCACATCACAGAGTCCTAATACCAAATACTAGCTGTTTGCTGCTATTGCACATATAAAATACAAAACAGTTTATTAAATCTCACTTCCTTCACATAAAATACCACAAAAACCACTTTGTAGTCACTTGACTATAGAAATAAGGAAGGTTTTAAGGCAAGACTTATCAGGAAGTGGCTGAGAAGAGAAGGGAGTCAAGAAGGGGGAAACAGCTTTACTTAGATAAGGCAGTAGAAGTAAAAGAGCAACTCTCATCTGCAGAATCAGGGAAAAGGGGTAGAGGCAAGCAAGACCAGGGTAATGCAAATGAGCAATGGAATGAGGTCAAGAGATCCAATTAGTGCCAACTTGGGGGTGACTGGGGACACCTGCTCCAATAGGACTTTGAGATTGCAAACTCATTTCATTTATGGCTTGTCTTCACGTATAGCACTATAGTGGCGCAACTGCTAGCACTTTAGCGAAGACGCTCCTACACCAATAGGTAGGGCCCTACCAAATTTAAGGCCATGAAAAATGCATCACGGACCATGAAATCTGGTCTCACTCTGTGAAATCTGGTCTTTTATGTGCTTTTACCCTATATTATACAGATTTCACAGGGGAGACCAGTGTTTCTCAAATTGGGGGTCCTGACCCAAAAGGGAATTGTGTGTGTGTGTGTGGTGGGGGGTGGGGGG